TTATCACATGAAGCTAAAAGAGTTTAATGCTCCAGGCTGCAAATATGATGGTTTTTGCTGTAAAATTGGGCCTTTTAACAAGAAAGTAAATGGGGATTGAATCCTCTGTGGTGCCCGCCCCAAGTGGACGTTAGTGGAACTGCAGTTTTTAGCACTTCTGCATCACTGTGTGATCTTTCAGTTCTGCAGGATGAGTTTTTGGAACAAGGCTGATGGCGTACAGGTGAACTGTGGATACGGAGGGTCATCAAGTTAGAGCTCGGTTTGAATCCTGTCAAATAATCCTCTGAGCTTTGTTACACTTAATCCAGCAAGCTGGAAACCGGCAATGACCTTTTACAAACGAATCATGCGGCCGGACACAAATCACGTGACTTTCAGTGACAACAATGAGAACGAGCCACAGAAGCCAAAATATATAAGCACACGGTGAAAAACGATTTCCACTGACGTCAGCGAGGAGACTGTTAGCATTGAACGGGTCAGCGTGACCTTTTAGTGGCAGGTGGAACTCATTGAGACAGCAAGTAGAGAATGAGTTCAGGTTGCGCTGAAGAAGGGGTCATTGTGTACTTGTAAACACACACACACACAGTATTAATACATACTGTCTGTCCAAGGGCACAGACCTATTTGGGTATGTCCAAAGAAAGCTGCAGGCCCTTTCCAGGCACATGCTTGCATATACACACATATACACACATATACACACATGCACAAAAGGCCTGAACTCTGACTTTCCAAAAAGGATGATATCATATATCAGTTGTTTGCTCTTTTCTTCACAGACCGCTCGCATGAATAGAAACACGCCCACAGCATCAGTCACTGTGCAGGTCATGGTCGTCTGCGGATGTAAAGGATGCTGAACAGATGATGCAGAGAACATATGTGAGAGAGTTCAGTGCAGGGACGAAGCTGCTGTTCACTAAGCTTTGGCAGACACAGAAAGTATGAAAGCACGTGGAGAGATTTATGGCAGATTTTAGAGATGTCAGCAAGTCTCATATTTCACCTTTTTGCTGGAAAAACGTGGCACGCAGTCAGAGTTGGTTGGACGTCTAAAGAGGAGGTGAAAGTTCCTCTCTGAGCTCACCGAGGTCACGTTAGGAGGAGGATGCAGCGTGCGCTGTGAATGTCGGCCGGCTTTGAACATAATGTGACTGTACAGATGTTTTGGTGTTTGGTTTTCTTAAAGTACAAGCTCACGTTTAATGTGGGGCATCCTGTTTCAGGCATTCATGCTGAATCTGTAATTTTAACAGAAATGAGTCAGCCAGCCCCGCATCTTTCAGTCAGGCGTCACGTAAATAAGATCCAATCCTTTCCTTTTTTCAGCAGTAAATCAATCTGCATGTGGTGCTGTAGTGAGTGTTTGTGTCTGTGGGACTGAGTCAAAGTAAAGTGCAGTGTTTGTGTTCATGGTAATGAAAGTAGTGTCACTCAGCGGCTCGCTGGGTTCAGAGGTTGTTGGCATGAGAACATGTTCAATGCAGAATATTTCTTCAACTGTTTCGCATGTCTGTGCTGAATGAAATGCAGCTTTTCATTCATGGA